CTGCTGAATGACATTGTCGTAAAGATACCCACAAAGACCCCACCCCACCCCAAGGTATCAACTGAAAAAGACAAATATTTTCGTTGCTAACAAGGCCCGAAGGCACGTCTTTATGGCCAGAGTTTTCATACCAAATAAACTGGTCGAAAGAGTCGCAAAATTATTTCACCTTCAAGAGAAATTCTCGCCCCCCAAAGCTATAGAAAAATAAAACCCTTCTCCGTTCATTCAACATTTATTGAGAGAATCCAACGACAGACAGATAGGCAGACAGACGGACAGACAGACCAGCAGACAGAAGGACAGACGGGCAGAAAGACACTTCTGTTTGGTTTTGGACCCCGGTCCTGGTTGCTGGTTGCTGGTTGCTGGTCAAAGAGGTGGCCATTAAATATTTTATTATTACATTTTCTAATAGTTGGTATAAAAGAAAGTAAACCATAAAATGTCGCAATACGAGTTGGGGGCTGTACAATTTAATTTATCAAACTTCTGCTACGATGCACATGGAAGCAGACATTGAGACAGACAGGGGGGCGGGGGGACATAGGGACAAAGGTGGAAGGAGGAAGGACGAAGGACAGATGGCGAGAAAGAGACCACCGACACTGCACGGAAACCGGAAGGAGGGAGCAAATTTTGTGCCTGCACTTCCGCTTAGAGTCGCATTTGTGGATCGTGATGGGGGCACCATACCATCCCCCTCGTAGTGGGAGGCGGTTTCAATGGGAGGGCGGGACGGAAAGTGGTTGCTGTGGGGACTCCGCGGGTGGCGGGAGGCGGTTGGCGGGTGTTGTGTTGTGTGTGCTATTTATAATGCGACAGACCAACCAGACAAACTATTATACGAGTACTCTCATGTACAAGTTTATTAGCCCCGCCGTAATTTATGGCCTGTGCATCATGGATACTCGTACTCGTATGTATTACAGTATTTCCCGTACAATTTTAGTCGTTTTACGAGAGTACATCACACGCTTAGGCTCCGCTGGCTGCGACTCTGTCGGGAATGGAGTTTTATGGCGGAAAGTCGCATACAATGTGCGGATTTTGCCAGATGGAAGAGACCATTTGTGGGATTCGGCGAGCCAATGACAGATTTTAAAGGACTCGGTGGCAGACTACTCTCATTAGGATGTGCCAATCTACTTTCCTTAGAAAGTTCTTCCTTTTACTCCCTCTTAGATTGATTAAATCTCTCATGGGGCTTCTTACCTAGAGAAACCGGAAGGGGCCCTATCCCATGGATGCCTGTTTCTTTTCTATCCTTGACTATTCTCTTATTAAGCCAAACAATTCCCCTATTTGTTTCATTTCAAAGGAAACCTTTAAGATCTCATCGCTTTTTCCCCTCCGACAGCAGGGCTATTCAAGCATTAAGCCACTGCCACTGCCACTAATTAAAGCCAGGCCAAAAAGTATAAAAAACACACAAAGTCGCAACAGCAGCACGCTCTGCTCTTCATCATAGAACCACACTCCTCTGGTGATTCCTTCCCTCCTCTGGGCCAGCTCTTTGGAAAGTCTGGAACTAATGCACGCCAATTTTCAATACAGAAAATCGAACTTTGAAGTGGACGCCTCGTCTCGCGTGGCTTGATGGGGCAGGGATCTGGGGAGTCTGCAGCCGGCACATGGCGTGCATTTCCACCAGTATTTTGCTTGGCCGAAAACTCTTGAAACTATTACCGGGGAGCCAACGGGAATGGGGTGGGGGGCCGGCGACTCTGAGAGGTTATTCCGAAGTGGACGAGGGCGTCACTGACACCGTCGACATCGAGAACAGAGCCGCCGGATCAGGGCAGGGGTGGAAGACGGTGGAAGCCCATTGAGCTCTCCTACGATGGAAACGAACGCGTTTTGTGCGTGTTGAAGCACGCAAGAAATACAAAAATATGAAAAAATATATATATTAAAATATCGTTGCATACTTAACGGCGCCGTGGCGCGTGGGGGGGTGGTGTCGGGGCCTGTGCCTGTCCAGCACTTTACCACTTTTTATGCTCGGCGATAAATTAAAATTTTTATTAACATACTTTCTCTCCAGCTAAAGAGAGAGAAAGCAGGAGCAGGAGGAGGAGCAGAGACGGTAATGGGAGGAGGAACCAGGTCCAGAAAACGTCAACTTGTCCGCCACTCGACTCGACGACGAGTAGGAGTGGGACTGGGACTGGGACTGGGAAGATTGGGGTCTTTGCAGGGGCTCTAGCTGCCAGTGGTTCTCTCTTTTATGACTTTCGCCAACGCACGCTAAAACTGACCCACCCACCGACCGTACCGGGCCGTACCTCCATTCTGGCGGTGCTCTTCTCCACGTTGAAGCCACTACAATTATAATTTGTTGATGCAGGAACCCAAGGAAATTCATTTTTTTATCTCTTCAGAGGGAGGGCCAAAGAGCCAGGAGGCGTGGACAATGTTGGGGCTGCATTATCTATGCATTATTGTTGCCTGCCCGGCCATTGGCCATCTGCCGAGTGCCGACTGCCGACTGCCGTCGCAGCAGAAAATAATATTCTATTAAATTATGTATACGTTTTTGTTAAACTTCTTCTGGAAGAGATTCTGCTGCAAAGTCGTGTCCCAGAGATAGTTGCAAATTGCAGCTAGCCGCCAGAAGACGGAGAAGATGGGGTAGATGGAGATGGGTACTCGTGCAATATTCAAATGGGTATCAGTTGGGATTACTTTTCTATGGGAAGTGTGTGTGGCAGGAGCTTTAAGGCTTAACAGAATAATATACATAATTATCTGCAGCAAGAGTAGAATGAACATATGATATCCCCACATCATGGGGGCATCCCAACAATGAGGATTCTCTATGGTTTATTTCGATATCAGAATCCCTAGCGATTGCGCATCTAAAATCCCATCAATTATTATTTGTTGTACAACAAAAAAAATAGCCTTCGCATTTAATTAAATATTAAATGAAACATTTATAATTCCGTGGTCGTGCTTAAACGTGGACAACGGACGCCAGTGCGGAATGCATTGTAAAGCCCCGTGTTGGGCCCCGTACCTGAAGGAATATCCTTCGAACGGCACGTAGGCAAACAGCCCCTGCCCCGCCCTGCCCTGCCCTGCCCTGCTCTGCCCTTCTCCTGCCGGAATGGTGAATGCTCAGTGCGTTGGAATGCAAATATTTTCCACTATAATTGAAGCGCGACAAATGCGAATTGTGAGCGATGTGAATGTGATTGTAATTTCGATTTCGATTTCAATTGAGGGTGGGAGCATCTGATTGGGGGAGGAAGGGCATGTGAGGGAATGCGGAATGCAAATACGCAAATATGGAATGCACATGCTTCAGTTCAATCATTCAATTTCCAAGACAAACAAGAAAGGGATTTATTAAATTCAAACGAATAATTACAGAGAAAGGGAAATGGAAACACATTTAACAAAATTGTTTTTTAAATGGATGAAAAAACATTTCCTGTTTTCCTATCTGTGGGGGTCCGAAGGTTTTGATACCCTTTTAGATATACAACTTTATGATATAGGCACATAGTTTCGGACAGTCAGACAAGGCTATATCTGATCAGAGATGGCTTCGCAGATGCTCCTTTCTGCATTACTTTACCGAGATTTGCTGAAAACCATCATACCCTCTGGAAGGGTGCAATGAATGTAAAACAAAATGGATGGCGTGATCATAATTGCCGCTGGACGTGAGTAAAAAAATAATAAAAAAGAATATAGGATAATAATTATAGCAGTAAATTGCAGGGGCAGACAGAGGCAGCGGAATCGAACAATTGTCGCACATTAACCGCAGATGCGCTCATTCTGGAACGGGATTGAGATGGGGATTGAAATGTGAAATGGGGAGGGGATGGGGATGGGGATGGGGATGAGAATTTGGATGGGCAGGGATAATGGGATGATGTTCGGGGTCGTGTCAGGCCTGGGATGATTATGTGTGTGGGTTCATCGATCCCCTCCTTGCTGAATGACAATTTCAGTGCACTTGCACCGAACATTGAACATGGGACAAGACAAAGGCAGCCGCAGGGCTATTAATTCCTTCTGTATTTCTGTATTACTGTATTCCTGCAGAGCTGTCCGCCCAGCAACATTATCGTTTTCAATTTGTGAAATTTATGGCCAAAAAGGCTGGAAATGGGAATGAAAATGGAAAATGACATTAAATGCGGTTTAACATGCCGAACGGAGATATTGTTAAACAGAATTATGCTATGAGGATGCGGATGTGAATGCTGATGGACAATCGAAGAGTGGAGCCCACCACGGCAGTAAGTGGAATGGCAGCAGAGAATTAAGTTTCGAACACTGAAAACCACTCCAGTGGAGCTGCAAAAGGCCCCAGAAATTGTCATTTTATAGGGGAAATTGAAATGTTTATGACGTAGTTCTGACGGAAAATACTCAAACGAGGATGGGAATGCGGATATAAGTGGGAAAACATGAATGAGAGATTGTTAAAAAACCAGAGAGCTGAAAAAGCCATCACACCTCTTCAGAGAACGTTCTTCAAACAGATATGTATATATATATACAGCGGTATCTATAGCGTCGGTCCCCTCTTTCTCTCGCGAAAGCTCCCAGTATCTTATCGTATTCTGCAAACCAACAACAATAATGTTCTTCTACTCGTACGTGGTGCTATCTTATCTCAGGGAAACCAATTTCTATATGAATCAAGATAATCGCACTGAGATATGTGTTTGTTTGTAGTCAGTTAGGTCTATGTCTAGGCACTGAATTCATTCTCGTAGTTCAATGAAACGGAATCATTGTATTTTAAAGAAATTTCTTTGCGACCTGTCCCCTATTCCACCTGTCTCCCTTGTGCTTTCCCCATTAAATTTGTTGAAATATTTGTGACAACACAGAGGTTCTCTCTTTTCTTAAAGAGCTTCGCTTCCCTTCAGCATTTTTTCAGCACCGTAGCGCAGCTCCCCCAACTCCACTTGTGTTCACTTCTACTTCTATATAGACCGTTCTTTTGTCTTTGATATCCACTATCCACTCACCAGACACAAGAGTTGATGAATTCTGTCGCTTCGCTGGGCGCAAAAAATGGACGAAGACTTCCGAAAATGCCAACCGACGACGACCGCACACTCACCAACGGATGTGTGTGGTGTATTGGTGACTTTTCCAATTTGAATTGGTGAGCGCGCCAAAAAGTATGCAATGCACAAACTGGGAACTCGGATGTCTTGTGGGTCTGCGATTCAGCGGTCGACTGCGGCGGCCCTCCGGTGTCGCTGCCTGCTGCTTTCTGCTGTCTGCTGACGGCGATGGCTGATGGCTGGTAATGTGATTAGTTGGCTCGTCTATCGATGGTTCTCGGAAGGTTCTGTGTGTGAGGGCGAGTGTGTGGGTAAATTTTAATTTAATTATGTCGGCGCTGCCTCTCGGCGTTCGCGTTTCAATTACGAAAAGCGGCTCGCAGCGGAAGCGAGAGGCAGCCACTGAAGACACGCACTACTAAACAAAGAAAGCAACTAACCGACGGAGGATGGTGCTCCAAGCGATGGCTAGGAACACGGACCGCCCTCACGAATGCGTCGAATGAATGCGAATGTGGAATGCGTACGATGTGCCTGTCCCTCTACCTGGCTCCACTCTGGTCCTGCTGGATGACTGGCCGGTTCAAAAATGCAACTGCTGCCGCTGCCTGCGACAAGCGACTGCCTTGTGTTGCACACTACAGGACCCACAGCGGAACGGAACGAAACGGAATGGCACTGAGTGATTTCCTGTGTTGCATACGCCAGGGCGCACGAACGAAACGAAATGTTACCCCGCACGGAGTGACTTTCCGAGCGAGCCACGAATGAGTGCAGCCTGCAGTTTGAGTGTCCCCGAACGGAGTGGAATCCTGCGACACGTACTCCCTGCAACACCTGTGGGAAAGGCGAGAGTGTGGCAGAGGCGGCTGTTCCTTCTTTATCGGCATCGAAGAGGGCCAGCCGAAATTTTAATTGGGTTTGCCCAACTAGCGGCACACAATTCAATAGCTTCGCCCGATGGGGCTCATTAAGTCGGAGGGTAGTAGGGTAGTAGTGTGTAGTTCCTTCCCCCTAGGCAGGTGGTGGTGGAGGGGGTCGAGAATTATATTAAAAAGCCATAAAGTTATAATGATTGCCTCAGGCACACCACCCCCACTTGCCCAACTTTCGGGGTAGTTCCAATGGGTTAATAGCACCCATATTTGGGAAATGTGAAACATTTTCACTCGCTCGTTGCATGTCGTGTCTCCATGTCCTTTTAAGAGCCGCAAGCTGTCCCAACTCCCGGCCACACTTGTGGTTAGCCATGTGGCAGAACGGCCGCTATGGCCTCTACCTGTTACCTTTGCCTAGTGGGTGCCTAGGGTGGTATACGAGTATAAATACATTTTGTGAACATAAGAGAGGTGTTTTACAAAGGCGTCGTTCCCATGATAGGGATTCTTACTCAGGATAGATTTCTGCTGGATGTGCAGGGCATCTGTAGTCCTTATATTCCTCAGCTGCAAAACTCCTTGACTTTTTGCACTTTGTACAATGATAGCGCTTCGCAAAGATGTCGCTGTCTACTCCACCTGACGGGCGACACAGTGACACCGCTTAAGGGAGGACTAAGTACACGTTAGCGCTGGGAAGCCCCTCTATCCTCAATCCGCCGTCCTCTATCCGAGTAGGAGTCCCCTGACATTGTCTGGCACCGTATCCCCTTCCATATGTAGGTGGGATCCATTTACATTCAGCATAAACAGCAGCCGGGACAATAAGCGCTTCGCCCGCACTGCAATATGCAACAGTTGCTGGCACGCAGGCTGCGATGGGACGCACATTTGTAAGTAGTGCTGTTATCTATCCGTAAAAGTCGCTTCCGCTTTGCATTTTATATGCTTAACGCATCGTTTGGTCCGCGTACAAATTGAGTTTCAGTGTTGTTGCAGGTCCTGCAGTCTGCCGCTGCTGCTGACTGAATGGCTGAAATATTAAACTTGCAGCATTGATTGAGAATGCCGTTTGACATCATCCTTTATCACTCATCCAATTTCATCCGATTCTGGCTCTCGCTCCACAACCATTTCGGTGGCTTTAAGCGAAGCAGAGAGACGAGCCAATTAAAACTTCTGCCCGGGAAACTTAATTGGGAAAACTCTCGAAATTATGCAATTGTCATAAGTACTCGAGGGCTACCAGAAACGGGGGGGAGGGATAGACAACTGGAAAGAGAAAGAATGGAAAACTATCAACTGCAGCGCCTGCGGTGCGTATTATTTTCACATGCCTCGCACAGGATGTGCTGCTGTCCACGTTCCGTGCAGAAGCCCCCCAAATGCTGGACGAGCATGACAAAAATGCTTTTGATTTGTGTCCCATTCACACAGACGCACATGGGTGGGACTGGGACCCCCCACACGAGGCTCCGAGGCTTATTAGAATGTGTGCGCAATTGTGGGGCGAGTGGGGGCGACCGTCCGTCCTGGAGGCAAAGTGCAAGTGGCAAGATAGATAGGCAAACAGAACAAACTGCCACAGAATGCAATTTATGCGTGTGCTGAGGTGGCGCCGGGGTTAGAGCGGGAGGCAGCAGCCAAATGGGATTGTGGCTGTAATTTTTGGGGAGCGCTCCGCTTTTCAATCTTGAAATATGAACCACCTTTGGCTGCACGGTGCTCATAGTTCCGTCTGAAAGTGAGAATAGGGAATATATATATGCGATGGTACATGCAATTCCAACATCTGAGGGTATGCACAGTTAGGCTATACCTAATTCACCTTTGTTAATGTTTAAAACCATTAAAACAATCAAAATATTTCAAATTTCTAATAATTTGCGATCGCTGCAGTATAGTAACCAGACCGTTAAAAAATGGTCTATCTGCGCTGCCACCTGCCAAAACTATCGCGACAGCTTATCGATGGTGTTATCGATTATACAATTGTACAATTTCTAAAATTAATATCGAACTTTGTCAGTATATTTACGGTATATTTTTAAAGTAAGACGGTATATTTCGGTATTTCTGAGGGTCGGTCACACCTTATACATGACGCTAAAAATGGTTCCGCCTTTCCTTTCCTTGATGGCGCACCAGTGTGACCGTTTTCGGTATTTTTTAGGTCAAAATTGAACCGACGGTATATTTTGTCAATTTCATCTATTTATTAAATTTTATTTTAAATGTTATACAGAAATCCAATAAAAGCAATTATTTGAATTAGGCCAATCAAGTAGAAAATTGATTCATCAATCGTATTAAATTCTGTGGGCATGGCCAAATGTTCTATATAGCTATTAATATTCGATGGAATATCAAAATTGAGGAATATGTATAATAGAACTTGAGCTCGTCAGTATATTTACGGTATATTTTAAAGTGATACGGTATTTTTGGTTTATTTCAGAGGGTCGGTCACACCGTATACATGACGCTAAAAAAGGCGGAAAAACTCGAAAACATTGCTCACAGAAAAGTGAAAATTATTGTAAAAACTGACTGATTTGATATAATTTCTAATATAATTTAAAAAGCCACAAAGATGCCACGCACTAAGATACCAAAGAACTCGAAGCGAAACCGCGACGTGGCCAATCGCGAGGAGAAGGTCCGCTTGTTCGAATTAAAGATGGACTCTAGTCTGATGAGCATCGACAATTTGGAAATCGCGTACTTGAGCGAGGTGGACAACAAGGTGAAGTCGGTGCTTTCGGTGATTCAGACCGAGCTGCGTGACATGAAGATGTCCGAGATCCTGCACTTGTTCGGGGAGCTGAACCGCTTTGGAGAGTTCAAGGCCAGCGATCAGACGCAGATGATAGCGTCCATGTCGGCAAGCACCAACACCACGGGCGGCCAAGGAGTGGCCCTGGCCAGTGGCGGCAGCCGCAACGACGAAGGTCAGTTTATAAAGATCGTAATTCTCATGTTCTAATGCATTTTATTCTAACTGGTGCGCGGATCTCTCTAACTTAAATTTGCTTTCTAACCTTTCATCACACATTCCATTGCACAAATAACATCACCACACAACATGCTGTGCCGGTCACTGTATCTAGGCTACCTTACAGAGGACAGTAGCCTGGGAGCCAGCGGCGGCAGCATGCTGGCCGTTTCCACTGCTTCCATGCTGCGATCCGCCAAGGCCATGCGGACGCCCGGCCCCCTACACTCGGCCAGGGCCCGTCGTGCCCGCCGTAGTCGCTCGGCCTGCGGGGAGCTGAGTGTAATCCACTCGGCCAAGGCGACCTCTATCCCTAGCAGCAGCACCAATGCGAATCGGATGTCTCGCAGCAAGATGCGCACTCCGATGTCCGCGCGGCCCAAGGCTTTCAGTGCCGATCGCACTCCTCTTAAGCTGCACAGGGGACGCACCTCATCGCCCTCGACTCCGCCAATGGCCTTCCTGCGCTACCCTAAGCCGGGCGAGGTGGCGCTCTCCAAATTTGGCAGTCCGATGGTGGCCCAAGTGTGAGCACTGACTAGAGAAACGTTCGAAACAGAATCGCAATTCAGTACATGTTTTCCATATCCACAGAATGCCGGAAAAGTTTGCCAATGTAAACATACCCATTCGGAATGGTATCCTGAGCTTGCGACCCAAGAAACTGGAAGCAGGCGAGGTCGAATCAAACCTGCTGGAAAACCTAGACGAGAATACCTTGAATCAGATCAAAACGCTGCACGCCAATTTGCAGATGATTGTGAACAAGGCCAGCCAGGCGGGCTTCAAATAGTGGCCCCTTCTAAATAGTATCTAGACGTAATCAAATATCATTTATTTTAGTATGTTTCGTTTAAGTTCAGTTCGCAAATTATGCACTAGCTATTGCTTATTTTACCCCGTTTTTATCCATCATTCAAATCTATAAAAGTTCTAATATATGTTCATCCGTTTATAATTGTATTCGTTGGGATTATTGTAACAAATAGCATAATTCATAAGTCAATCGACAGTAGAAAGAGAAAGATTCCTCGCACCCGACTTTTGGCAGGTCGTCAGGCGCTGCGCACCAAGAGGAGAAGGAACGCCTGGCACAAGTCAAGGCCGAAAGTGTTCCAAGCATCAAGCTTATCCTCGCCTGGACTGACAAGCATATGCTTGAGATGCAATTATCGAATCTGAAGCGGAAAGGGTGAGTGAATGCAAACATTTTTAATATTACCGACTCGCAATTATTTCCTTTAGTTCCCGATCCACCAGACGTCCGATTACTCAGCAATTCGGTAAGCACCGATCGCGGACGTTGGCGCATTCGTGATTCCTTCCAGCTGCCGCGCCCAATTGTACAATCGTTGGACAAAGGACCTTTTAAGCGTGGAGGAGCTCCCAAGAAAGTACCACCGATCACATTCGTACGTTGGCCGCGTGCCGGAGTTGTTGTTCTGCAGCAGCGGCAGCCCGTAGCAGCTTCAAATCGGTAAGTGAATTCCGTTTTTGATATAATTTGAATGATATGAAACGACTTCATTATCAATACTGAAGCAATCGCTAAGCTTTTTTTTCATAAATTAATTTTCTTCCTCTCTTCACCAGAATGCACAGCAGGAATGCGGTGCGGAGGAGTACATACCCATCAAGAAGGGCGTGATCACGGTGTAGCCCCTGCTCACCGCGAATTCACTCAACCAAGTGAAGACTTTGCTAACCAATCTAGGAATGATTGTGGACATGGCCAACAAAGTGGGGAAGATGTAGGATGTATGGAGATCGAATTAACAATGACAGGTAGCTACATTTTACGCTTATTTCGTTAATATTTTATTTAGTCTTTTTCATTTTCTCATTTTCAATGGTTTTGTTCAGTTGTTAAACATTAAGTGAACGTGTGTCTGTTGTTCTTGTTGCCGTTTGTTTGTTTTTTGCTGTTCGCTTGCGTTGGTTGTATAATTAATTAATAAATTTAATTATCTTTATATATATATGTATATATATATATAGACGTATGTATATATATCGATTTTTAAGTACAAACATAGCGTACAGAAGTTCCGTTTCGTCTCCACTAATTTTTAAATTGTTTAAACATTTTGCTATTGTGTTGCATGTGTGTATCTGTGTGTCCGTGAGTGTGAATATTCCCTCGTACTTGTGTATGTATTTTGTTGAATTAAATTAATTTATTTGTATTCTTTTTAATGTAAGTTCAATTGAAACTTCCCTTGGGTTTCGTTTTCTCTTCATTTTCCAAGAATTGTTTGGATTCAAAAGATGTCTGCTCTTATACGAAAGTTACATTTACACATATACAATGTTAAATATAAAATTATCATTAATTCTTGAATTAGTGTGTATTTAGTGTGGAATTTAGCATTTCCTTCTTTTCCGTTCCCTTTCCCTTTGGTTCCTACTCGTACATAAGGTGAAAATTCATATATTATCCAAGTGTTAGTGAGTGAAGGGCGTCTCATGTCATATACATACATACATACATACATACTTAGTCGTAAGTTACATAAAAATACAATACATAGCAAAAAGGTACATATATATAGACTTAAAATATGCATCTTTTTTGTTTACTTTACTGAATTATTCCATACAATTTGTAGAGACAAAGACAAACATATAAACAGTGACAGTGACAGTGAACGAACAGTGACAGGTGACAACAACATAACACTTAGTTTTTCTCATTTTGTAACATTCATTATGGCTTCTCGTATGCGGGGTAAATATTCTGTTTGGATGGGTTTTCATTTTGTAAAAAGGTTTCAAGAATATAAATTATTCAAGGTAGGGCGATCCGCTGTCAAGCCAATCTATTTATCGCTTAGAACTTAATATAAAAATCTTTCAAAATAATCTATTTTCAATTCATTTTCTCCACAGACTACGCCCTGGATCACGACTTCGGACAGCCCTCAAACCAATAAACAATACCCAACAAAGATGTATGTAAGGAATGAGTGGATAATACATATTCCTAAATATTAAATAAGTTTCAATAGGTAAAGAATAGAGAATTCATATGTGACAATTTGAACTTAAGTTTGCTTGCTCCATGCGACTTTAATCATCCCACCAACTGCGCTTTATCCATCCCTTAACGGGCCTCTAACCTAATCAATAATCAGTTTCGATCCTACGCGCGTTCCCTGAACGCATCTAACTACGCTACGGCAGCCTCCACCAACCTCACTAAACTCGACCGCTACTTGAAAAGTTTTTGTCTCACTTTTTAATTTTTTCGTTCTTGGGCTCATCGTATGCCTATTTCGTCGTACGTTTTTCGGTCTTTCAACTCTTGTTTCCTTTTTTGTTTTAACACAGCCAATCAACAATGCCTTCTGCTCCTCCTCCTCAACTAACGTTTTTCGTTCCCTTTTTTCCTGTACAGAATGATGAATAAATTATATGAAAACAAATGAATTTCTGTAATCTTACGTATGAGTTTCTGTAACTTGTTTGGTTTTTGTTTTGTTTTCTATGTTGTATTGCTCTCGGATCTTTTATGGTTCATGTTGCGTTCGTACAAATTTCTAATCTTTTTATACAAAATTGTGCTAGTTTTGCTATTTCGTTTACAACTATTTTTGTAGGCTGTTGCTTTAGAATTCGTTATAACTTGTTAAATGCTAGTTTATATATTTGTTTTGTATTTCGTTATCCTTATGTTTGGGCACTACTCATTGCGGTTCAGGGCGTCTTTTGTATTTTGTATTTCGTAAATAGTATTTTTTTATAATATTAAGTTTTTAACAAATCTTTGTAGGCATTATGCACGGGTACAGGGCGTTGCATTATTTCTTTTGTATCTCTTCTTTCGGTTATAATCCTCATTCATCAGTGTGTGATTTTGGTACAAATTTTATGGTACTAGGTTGCATAAAAAAGAAATTAATTCATAAGTAAGTATGACTGTACAATAAAAAGGAGTAAGTACGTTCGCTACAGTCTCGATTTTGAGTTACCCGCTATGCAGATTCAAATCGGTTGTGGGAAAACCAAAAGGGCCAAGCCAAAGTCCTTGCTCAGGACATGTAGGGATCGCAAATGATCAGGAGATTTCAGAAATGCCCAAATCGGATAAGAACGTTAAAAGGGCAATATCCTTATTGTCCTTGAAGCCAAAGTCTTGGACCGATCGGAGACATTCTCGTGATTACGAGAAGGCATGGAACGCCCAGATCGTTTAAGGAATGGCGCAGTTATAGCTATTTATGACGTTTGAAAGACAATGTCCCTATTGTCCTTGATGCCAAACTATCGGGGATATTCTCGCGATTACGAGAACGTCTGTCAAGTTTAGGCCGGATAAGAAATGACGGAGAAAAGTAAGTATATTTGAGGGGAAAATATCCTTGATCCTTGATAAGGACTATCAAGTCAAGAATGTTTCCCCGACTACGGGAAGGCGTGGCACGCCCAGATCGGTCAAGAAATTGCGCAGCTATAGCGATCGATAACGTTTGAAAGGCAATGTCCTTATTGTCCTTGATGCCAAACGATCGGGGATATTCTCGCGATCACGAGAAGGTGTGGCATAACCAGATCGGTCAAAAAATGGCGGAGAAAACTTAATATTTTTGAATGGGCAAAGCATCCTTGATCCTTGATAAGGACTCCGTTGAACCAGGGACATTTTTCCGATCACAAGAAACCTTCGCTCGACTAGATCGGCCCACTAATAGCCGAGAAAACATAATATTTATGGCTGGGGATGTTTGTCTTTATCCAAGGATCAAGGATGTTATTCCGATAGCAGGAAGCCATGCCACGCCCAGATCGGGCCACAAATAAGGGAGAAAATGAGACATATATGTCTGGAGAAAATATCCTTGGTCCTTGGTCCTTGAAAAGGACTTCATGAAATCAGGGACATTTTGCCGATCACAGGAAGCCATCGCACGCCCAGATCGGACCATAAATAGCGGAGAAAATTAATACTTTTGATCCTTGATATCCTTGGTCCTTGAAAAGGACTTCATGAAATCAGGGACATTTTGCCGATCACAGGAAGCCGTCGCACGCCCAGATCGGGCCATAAATAGCGGAGAAAATGAATATTTTTGATCTTGGATGTCCTTGGTCCTTGAAAAGGACTTCATAAAATCAGGGACATTTTTCCGATTACAGGAAGCCGTCGCACGACCAAATCGGCCCACAAACAACGGAGAAAACAAAATTGGCTTATAACTGTCTTTAAAAATGTAGTTCAAGAAATCACCGATAGGGGCGCCACCGTACAAAGGGAAAAACCTCGCGTCAAACGGCCAAAATCTGGATGGGATACCAGGCGAACATAAATCAGCAGAAGGTAACTGCAAATTTGCGGTCCCCCAAAAGTATGCAACATGATTTTTTTGCATTTCCTACAGTTGCTTGCTGCTGATTTCTGTTCCCCTGGTATCCCAGCCAGATTTTGGCCGTTTTCTCCGGTATTTGTGGGCCGATTTGGTCGTGCGACGGCTTCCTGTAATCGGAAAAATGTCCCTGATTTTATGAAGTCCTTTTCAAGGACCAAGGATATCAAGGATCAAAAATATTAATTTTCTCCGCTCTTTATGGGCCGATTTGGGCATGCGACGGCTTCCTGTGATCGGCAAAATGTCCCTGATTTTATGAAGTCCTTTTCAAGGACCAAGGATATCAAGGATCAAAAATATTAATTTTCTCCGCTATTTATGGCCCAATCTGGGCGTGCGACGGCTTCCTGTGATCGGTAAAGCGTCCCTGATTTCATGAAGTCCTTTTCAAGGACCAAGGATATCAAGGATCAAAAGTATTCATTTTCTCCGCTATTTATGGTCCGATCTGGGCGTGCGATGGCTTCCTGTGATCGGCAAAATGTCCCTGATTTTATGAAGTCCTTTTCAAGGACCAAGGATATCAAGGATCAAAAATATTCATTTTCTCCGCTATTTATGGCCCGATCTGGGCGTGCGATGGCTTCCTGTGATCGGCAAAATGTCCCTGATTTCATGAAGTCCTTTTCAAGAACCAAGGATATCAAGGATCAAAAGTATTAATTTTCTCCGCTATTTATGGTCCGATCTGGGCGTGCGATGGCTTCCTGTGATCGGCAAAATGTCCCTGATTTTATGAAGTCCTTTTCAAGGACCAAGGACATCCAAGATCACAAATATTCATTTTCTCCGCTCTTTATGGGCCGATTTGGGCATGCGACGGCTTCCTGTGATCGGCAAAATGTCCCTGATTTTATGAAGTCCTTTTCAAGGACCAAGGATATCAAGGATCAAAAATATTAATTTTCTCCGCTATTTATGGCCCAATCTGGGCGTGCGACGGCTTCCTGTGATCGGTAAAGCGTCCCTGATTTCATGAAGTCCTTTTCAAGGACCAAGGATATCAAGGATCAAAAGTATTCATTTTCTCCGCTATTTATGGTCCGATCTGGGCGTGCGATGGCTTCCTGTGATCGGCAAAATGTCCCTGATTTTATGAAGTCCTTTTCAAGGACCAAGGATATTTTTTCCAGACACATATCTCATTTTCTCCCTTATTTGTGGCCCGATCTGGGAGTGCGACAGCCTCCTGTGTTCGGAATAACTTCCTTGATCTAATGAAGTCCTTATCAAGGACCAAGGACCAAGGATATTTGCTCCAGATGAATAGATCTCATTTTCACCCTTTTTAGTGGCCCGATCGGGACGTGCGACGGCTTCCTGTGATCGTAAGAAAATCCTTGACCCAATGAAGTCCTTATCAAGGACCAAGGACGAAGGATATTTTTTCAATAATATATATTTTCTTACATAATTAGTTATCGCGGCTATTAGTTGGGCGATCAAGGAGTACGACGGCTGCCTATGATCGGAAAATTGTCCCTGATTTGGAAAAGTCCTTAGCTCGGAATAGGGATATTTTCTCCGTTTATAATTATTAAGGTTTCTCCGCCATTTCTCGACCAATCTGGGCGTGCTATGGCTTAATGTAATCGGGGACCATCCTTGATTTGATAGTCCCTATCAAGGATCAAGGACATTTTCACAATCAAAAAAATTAATTTTGTTCTCTTTTTGCTGCCCTATTTGGGCGTGCTACGCCTTCTCGTAATCTCGAGAATATCCCTGATGGATACTTTATCAAGGCGTCGTCCTAAAGTATTCTATACTTTTTAAATAAACCAAACCCCAATATAATCTGATCTGCCTGAAGGTTTCAGAGGGTGCGTGTAGCGGGTACGAGTACGAGACTGTTGAATAATAACTTATGAACTATTCGATTGAATGTTCCCTATGTACAATTAATTAGGGGTAACTTATACGCTCAGAAGTGCTTTGTAACTTAATGAATTTTATAGAACTTCACATGCACTTAAGTAGGTAAAATACGTATCTTTAAAAAAATGAAGTTCGCTTTTCATTTACGTAAATATTTCATGTCAAAGAGTTAGATAGCGTTTAGAGTTTTAAGAGATATTTCTGTTTTTCTCCATGATGTTTATACCGTTTGTAAATATTCTGTATTTGTTGTATTTAAATATATACGAATTATTTCAATATATTTTGTTAGGCTTATAAATTAATTAATTTCATTAAATGCTTAAATTCATTAATGCACTTTATATGTACTTTTCGTGTTGCTGTGTGAAATTTGCTATACTCTTATCCCATATAAATATATATTTATGTATATGTATATGTATATGCCGGTATATGTGAATAACTTGCATTAAAACTATATATATTTAGGTGTATATATATATAATATATAATGCTAAATGCAGTATACTTGTGTATATTTTGTTGTTTTACTTTTTTTTTTTTCTTTCCTGGTTTGAGGTTTTGTCAGTATCAAAAACTAAGGGAGAGCTGAAGGGAAGGCCAAAAATTGGCCCTAAATTGATTACCATTTCTGCATTACCATTTCGTGTTTCAATTTAATTTCATTAAATGTAGCCTCTTAAAGAAGAACCCAAACCTATGCTAATTATATATATCTATTTACGCGTGACAATTGAAATTTAGCTAGCAGCGTCTAAAAAACTAGTCTCTTAATTAGTGAATACTTTAATCTGAACTGGTTGCAATCTATTTACAATTTATCGAGTAAGTTCGTTATGTAATTCGCGGATTTATTCGGGTATGCTCAATACTCTTACGAACTTCTAATTATTATACGTTTTTTGAACTTAACGAGAGGTATTTCTATTTTCCCAAGTGTTAATATCGCCTTTTGTCCCTATACATATATCGTATGTGTATCGTATGCATGTGTTTTATTCGTGTTGTTTGTCGTTGTTTCGGTGCACTTCTTTTCAGTATTACAATTTGTCAAATCAAAGATTACTAGAGATGCAACAAAGTGGAAGAAATTAACATAAACGGAGAAGATAATTACATACCTGTTTTAAATATATGTTTGCATATGTGAATTTTTATTTCGGGCTTTGCAGTTTAAACAGTAATTTAATAAAAATATAAACTAAATTTATATCAATAATATTTGTATAGCATTTGTTTCGTTTCTTCTTCTTTTAAATAATATTTATAACGATTGAACCCAACTTAATAGACTTAATAGATTTAAACAAAATCAAAATCAATAAAAAATTACAAATAGAAAACGTGAAGCTTGTGCCTTTGAATCGCCTTCGCGCACAGAAGTGTTTCTTGAAATTGTGTCTCATATCCATACACAGGTATACATATAATTGTATTACATATTACATATATGTATTTAGTATATATATATATATATATAGTATATAGTATATAGTGTATGCATACTCGTACAAGCTAATATAAAAATGGTTAAAATTACAAATTAGTTTAAACAAAACCTGTAATATAGCCTTCACATGAAATTGCAACGCCGACTTGCTTTGCGCGCTTTGCTTTCTCGCTTTGATATAAAAGTATTTAAGAATAATTACAAATACAATTTTAGACGAGCATTAACTAAACTACGAATTAGAGTTTAAGACGGCGCAACTTAGCAAAATTATACAAATATAGTGAAATATATACAGATAAAGGGATTTGTTTTTGTTGTTTCCCTAGTCGCGGAGAAAGAGAAGTCGATTATCGAGAGTAGGTCAAAAGGAGTCCTGTTTGAAGTTGTTTGAAACAGTTAAACATATTGTAAAGCAAAGCATTGGCATGCAACAAATTAGCAACATTTAGTATATAAAATTTAACAAATTATCACACTGAAAAAAATTCAACACTAATTTTAAATATACAAATTCCATACGTACGCATACGAATGCGTATGCGTTTGCGTATGCATGTGTGTGTTTGTGTGCTATATGTATGTGGTATGTGGTATATGGTATATGGTTCTCCAATCAAATTGTATACATTCTGTTGTCGCTTGTCGCTAGAGTCTAGAGCCTAGCCAACGCCTGTCCATACACGTTACATCATATCATATTGTATAATATTTTTTAAATATACATATATCCATTTAACAACATCTCGGAACGCGCCCATTCTTTCATTATTTATGCTTCTGCTTGGATTTCCTTCTCGTTTTCTCTCTTTTGTATATATGAATAATAGCTTTAGCTTATACCTAAGCTTTATCTTTAAACGTAATAAATATGCATTTCATGTATCATCTTTTTTGTGTGTTCAGCTTTTGCAGCTTTTTCTGTATCTGTTTCCGATTCCGTTTTGAAAATACATATTTAACTATAGCGTGTCTGGTATTTATGGTTTTGCAATTTCTTTTAGACGAGGTTCCCATTTTGCATTTTGCTTTACAATTAATATTTGCTAGTATTATAAAATAAATATATTTATGTATATATTTTTTAAATAGTGCTGCTAGTAATTTTAAATTAGATTTACATGCGGCGCCTTTTGCTTCTCCTATTCTTTTGTTTTTCGCTAACGTGTCGTTTGTTTAGAGCCATAAATGCGTGCGCCAGAGAAGTTGCTTTTCCTGATCCTTGGGTCGTGCCTTAGGCACTTTAGGGTCACCTCGTGGCACTGCTGGTGAAGAAGTCCGCTGTGGGGGAATACAAGCTTTAAAATATTTCCACAACTACATATGTATATCCTGGTTCACTTACGCGTCTCGAAGCTGAAGCCCAGCGTTTGATCCGGCGGCGTATTGAGCATAGGGTTGCCGACATTACTGCCCGTGGGCGTGACATTGCCCATGGCATTTGTACTATTGGGGCCACCGACAATGCCGCCGCCTCCGCCGCCGATCACTGGTCCCTGCTGTAGCGGACTCTGCGGCGTCTGGCCGCGCTGTGCCACGACTCCGGGCCCGCCGGCGCCTCCAGTGGCCGCCGCAGCCGCCTGCTGCCTCACACTGACCACCGCCCGGAGCTCCTGCTTGACGAAATCGGAATTTGCATTGCCTCCAGCTCCTGCGCCACCGCCTCCTCCGTTTCCAGCTGAAAGAATCAAAGGGGAAGCGATAAGTGACCATGGAGTCCCGGAGGGATCAAGGATCGGTGGGGGCTCCGACAACATACGAGTAAAACTAAGTTTAGTCACACTTTTTCTGGATCATTTCTAAACATAAAACATAAATTAAACATAAATAAGTACACAAACAGACAACAGAATACAACATGGAACATAAAAGTGGGAGGGCACACATAAAACTGGAGGGGGGCAGGGTAGGGTAGGGTACGGGATACAAGGCGGTTGGGCGTTGGGAAGAGTATACATAAGTTCCTACAGCATCAACCAATGGATATTCTTCTGGATATTCAATTTACAGCAGGGCATCCTCTTAGATTACGCTCTTTCGTATCGCTAATATAGTTTTACGGGGTTAATAGTACACCAAATGGCTTTTGCTTGGGAGGAGGGAGCATCGCCTAAGACTATTCTCTAGTTATTATATACAGATATAGATCAACCGACCTGGCTTGCGGAGGGTTGGGCTGGTTGGGTTGGTTATATACAATGGTGGATCATACAGTTGTTATACACGATAGATAGGTAGATAGTACACGCAAATGTCTGGGTTAAAGGTGGATTGGATTGGTTTGGATTACAAATACTGATGTGTTTCGTTTTGGTTTCTTTTTTGTATATACAAGAATGTGTCGAACGGTTTTGCGGATGTTCATGTTCCCAAATTTTCATTTGCTTTACGATGGGTGGCAATGGATCATACAGCTATACGATATATACTCAGATATATACACACATTTACATATAGGCATGGTGATTGTACAGCGAAATGGAGATTCGATTGAGTGTGAGAGATTGAGAGAGAGAGAGAGAGAGAGAGCACACGGGCTTACCGGTCTGCGCTCGACCATAGAAATCATTCGCCTGCTGCGCCTGCGGCTGCGGCTGCTGGGCCTGCCCATAGCCGGCCATTGCGGCGGCATAGTTGACATTTCCGCCACCTCCGCCAAGGCCAATTATGCCATTGCCTCCGCCACTGCCCATTCCGCCCACGCCCATCATGGCCGGATGCGGATGTGGATGCGGCGACATGCTCAGTCCGTTCAGGAGCTGCTGCTGCTGTTGCTGCTGCTGCTGCTGTTGTTGCTGCTGCTGCTGGTGTTGCTGCTGCTGCTGCTGCTGGGAGGGATTGCCGGCAGCCGCATTGTCAGTGTGGTGGCTGTGGCTGTGACTGTGGCTGCTGCTGTTGGCGGCCGTGCCCGGGGAGGAGCCGAAGCGGGGCGAGCCTGTTTTGGTTAAGCGGTGGTTTGGGTTGGCTTTGATTAAAACTAATCGAGATTAAAGTGTGTATGTGTGTTTGTGTGTGTGTCTGGTTGTGTGTGTGAAGCTGTCTAAGTAAATGTGGATGTTTAGTATATGGATTAAGGGGCGCCTAACTGATCTATAAACGGAGAACTCCCGAGCTAGTCCACAAAGAGTTCTTTTCTTCTACATTTCATTGAGACTCGGAATTGGAAAAACGCGTAGTTTTCCAACTAGTTTTCTTTTCAATTTCTAGTGTACTAATATCTAATCTTTGGCTTTTTTCTGATCTGATCTTCTGCAACCTCAGGTGGAGCTCCTCTTCCATCTGAAGATCTCTTACCTGGCAGATGCTGCGTGGCCTGCGGGACGCTTCCCTGGCGCTGGAGTCGCTGCAGCTGCTGCTGCTGGAACACATTCACATTGCCGCCGTACGGCGACTGGGGGCCACCGAATCCGACGACACCAGGTCCGCCGCTGCCATCGGGAGTCGTCGCACCGCCGCCGCCCTGGCCCTGGAACGAGTTCTGGCGCTGCAGGGCCACCGCCGCCGCATTGCCCACAGGCCCGACCTGGGCGCCGGGAGAGTTGAGGCCTCGTCTCTGGTTCTGTTGGTATTGACGCGCATTATACGGACTGACGCCCTGCATCAGCGTCATGGAATGGCATTAGTTGTTGACTTTGGCAGTGGCAATCGGATCTCAGGACTTACCTGCAACTGTGCTATGAGCATGGGATTGTGCTGCTGCAGCGTTCGCCCCGCATTGCCGGAGGGCAGCGGACCTCCCGGTCCTCCCCCTGCTCCTCCAGTGGGCCACTGCTGCGGACTGTTTTGCATTCCCGGCGACTGCAGTCCCGAATTGGACCCAAACGGTGTGCTGGACCGTCCCCCATCGCCCACCTGTTGCTGCTGCTGCTGCTGTTGTTGCTGTTGTTGCTGCTGCTGGTAGGCCAACTGTTGCGCCTGGGCGTTGTTCTGTTGCTGCTGCTGCTGCTGTTGGTTGAGCTGTTGTTGCTGCTGCGGCGACAGACGCTGGCCCGGCTGTGGGAACGTCGGAGCATAGCCTGAAGGGAGAGGAAACACACGTTTGAGCAACCATTGCAGGGACTAGCTATCCATACCAGTACCTTGGTTCGGCTGCGGACTGTAGGGTGTACTCCGTCCGGGACTCAATTGCTGCTGCATCAGTGCCTGGGCAAAGCCCGGACTGAGCTGAGCGTCCGCCGGCAGATTGGTGCGCGAGAGGGAGACATTGGGTGCCACCGTGGTGTTGAGCAGCGAGCCAATGTTGTTGAGGCCCGCATTGATGCCAGCTAGAAGGAAAAAACGAATTGATCAGCTATTTTCAGGGACCGTAAATAATGCTTATTTTCTAGCCGAAAAAAACCACCACTTACAATATTCACACAGAAGGTTGAAATATACCAATAGACTGCTCTAAAGATAGTCTCTGCCATACAGAAATTCTACAAAGTGGTCCGCTAACTCTCTTTCTGGTTTTATTTTTACTCTCAGCACTACTGAGAGCGCATTGCCGCCATGTTTGATGAGGAAGAGAGGAACGATGTTTGCTGTTGTACTGAGTGAAATAAGACCCGAAAAAGAAGCGCGTTGCGGAAGCGGACCACCTTGTATAATATCATCAGAGTCTATGCATATTATATTTTAAATTTTGCTGCTAATCTTCGGTGATCTATATTTATTTTTAAGCAAAAATTCTCTAAAGCCTTCAATAAAATGGGATTTGCGACTACACTTTCAAAAAAATAAATACTTAAATATGTATAATTAAAAACCACTTAAGATCTTTAATGGGACAGGTGAGACTCGACAGTCTCATTTTATTGTTGATCGAGCATTCCATAACGGAATATCAAAATAGGGAAACAAATAGATAACTTTGCCTATTTAAAAGTTAAGAATTAAATTTTTGAACCATTTAAATAATTAATAACTGGAGCTACGATTTTTGTTTTGTTTTTAGTTTGGGGGTAACAAATTTTTTTCGACCCTGCGCTAGATAAATTATTCTACATAAGGAAGATATTCTCTGGGTACTCACTGGCATTCTCTGGGACCAGAAGCTGCTGCTTTTGCTGCTGTTGCAGGAGACGCTCCTTCTGCTGGGCCGCCGCCAGCTGCTGCTGCTGTCGCATGTTGCGGAGCTGCTGCTGGGCGGGCAGCACAGCACCGCCGGGCGTGGCTACGGCATTCATGGGGCCGCGACCACGGGCAGAATACATGGGCGGCGGTCGCTGGAAGCCCTGGTTGCGCATGGCGTCCATTCGTCCATGCATGATATGCTGCTGCTGCTGCTGGTTCTGCTGCTGCTGCTGGAGGCTGAGCATGCCCGGGTAGGCGGGCGGCTGCTGGAGGTGCTGCTGCCGGTGTTGCTGGTGCTGCTGGGCCGCCACTTGGAGGGCCAAGAGCTGCTGCTGTTGTTGCTGCTGTTGCGCCGCCTGCTGCTGTTGCTGCTGATGGTGAAGCAGACTGGGATCTCTGCGGGAAAAACATAATTAGTAACACTTTCACAATTCCACAAAACACCACCACTACCCTCCCTCGTACCGTTCCGATCTTACAATTCTCAAAAGCGACAAGGTTGCCAAACGGAACCAAATCAAACGGAAATCGATGTTCGAATTCACCTCAAAAATGCATCCTAATGCAGACCCTACACCTAACCCAAATATTGTCTAACATCAGACCTCTCTGCGGACCTTACCCCACTAAAAACATGCATTCGATCTACAGATCTACACTCGCCCACACATGGCCAGAAGAAGCAGCAGATGATCTGAGCTTCTTCCCAACATTCCGCTCGAACAAACTTCCTATAAATGCCCCTACTAATTATATTCCGACCCCAACAGCAATACAAATTGAGGAAGATATCTCCCCTGGCCTTGACCGTATATCATACCCGGAGGAGGGCTGATAGAAAACGCAGCCTCTCCGCCTCAAAAACAGAATCCCACACCTCTACAACAACAGACTCGACTCCTCCATAATAATCGTAAGCTGTCTTTAGCAGCTGTCATGGTAAACATACCCCACACTTGAATCCTTTAGCTGTTGCTGGCTCATGAGGATGTGCTGGTTCAGGTCGCTTCCGAAGGTGGCGGACTCCACGTCGAGCATCAGCGACTTCTGGATGTCGCTGATGGCGGAGGCCGCCGAGGGGGCGTTTGCCACAATAGGGGCGTCGTCCGGGTAGTATTCCATGACGCTGTCCAGCAGCTTGGACAACTCCGTGTCGCCGTCGCCCAGAATGGCCGCCGCTGCCGCTGCAGCCGCCGAGGTCGAGGCCGCTGTGGTAATTGAGGTAGATGCTGAGGTCGCCAGTTGTTGCAGCTGCTGCTGCTGCTGCTGGAAGGCTAGCTGCGGCGGCTGGTGCGGCTGCTGGTGCGGCGGCTGGCTGAGGTAGACATCGTTTGGCTGCGGCTGCTGCTGGGAAGGATTGCTGGCTGCCTGCTGTTGTTGTTGCTGCTGTTGCTGCTGCTGCTGCTGTTGCTGCTGTTGCTGTTGTTGCTTGCGGTTTCGATTGGCTGCCGCTTTGGGTCCAGTACTGCCGGCGCTGATTAGGTTGCCGGGGGCGGAGAGGGAGCTGCCCGAGGTCATCGCGGACATCGAGGAGCTGGTGATGTCGGGCAGCGTCTTCACCTGCAGCGGCTGCTCGGCGTTGGGGGCTTTGGGTATCTTTGGCGGATTCTGCAGCAGCTTTGCGAGCATCTTGTTCTGGGTGCAGAGCTTGCTGGGCTTGTCCTCGGATCGCTTCGCGGAGGACAGGTCGTCGTCGGGCTCGTTGAGCGAGCGCTTGCGGCTCAGCGACGGATCGCTCTGGATCTTCAGCATGGCCTTGAGATCCTCGTTGCTCATGTTCCCGCCGGCGCCTACTCGGTGCATGGACCCATGGCCGGACCCATGGCCCCCGTCATTGTTCTTGAGCTGCCGCATCAGTTCGCTCTGCCGGGCATTGCTCATGGCTCCCGGCACATCATCATCGTCTGTCTTCTCGTTGAGAAGCTGCCAACAAAAGACAACCATTAGAAAAGGATTCTCGCACTCCCGGGCTCTGGGAGAGCACTCTACTCACCTTGAGCAGCATGGTGTTCTGTGAGTTGCCGGGCTTGTGCAGCAGTGTGGTCGTGGCGCTTGCACTGCGTCCCAACGGTCCCATGGACCCAAACATGCCCATGGCTCCTCCTGGCTGGCCGCCCATCTTGAAGCTGCCAGCGGGTCCCCCACTGAGCTTCTCGTCTTCGCTGCTCTCCTGCTTAAAGTACTGCAAAGAATCGATTATTACCAGAGGATTCATTGGAAGTGCAGGGATATGGGTATGATGGCAGCCCTTCGATAGTAGTGTCTTCTGCTCACCTTCTCCTCATCGCCCAGTCCTCCCAGACTGCTGGTCTTTGTCAGCAGGTGCCGCAGTCGCTCCGAGGATTCCTGTTGCTGTTGCGGCGCCGTCTGCTGCTGTTGTTGCTGCTGCTGCTGCGCTTGTTGTTGCTGCTGCTGTTGTTGGGAGAGGAGTAGTCCGCCCACACCGTTCGGAAGGCCTCCCAGCATCGGGTTGCTGTTGCTGCTGGGGCCGCCGCTACTGCTGTTGTTGCCCTGCTGCTGCTGCTGGGGATCCTTCTCCGGTTTGGTGTCGCCCGGCTCGAAGGAGTGGAAGTTGAAACCATAGTTGCCTCCGCCGGCACTGGCGTTCGACTGCGGCGATGGAAGGCTGGCGGCAGAGTGCGAGGACAGCTGGTAGGGCGTGGCCGGGGAGGCGCACACGGCCGGACTGAAGCCGTGGCCCGAGGGCGGTCGCGGCGTGCTCACGGGCGTGGCGACGGAGGCCCGCGAATTCGGACGCGAGTCCGTCCAGCCGCCGACGCCGCCGCTGGGATCGATGTCGAAGGAGGAATGTGCAATGTCGAATTCGAAGGTGTCGCTGCCGTAGAAGCTGTGCTCCCCGGGGGCCGGCGAGGCGGTGAACGTGTTCACCAGGTTCGCCGCCGAGGAGCTGGCCGCGGAGGAGGACCGCTGCTGCTGCTGTTGCTGCTGCATCCCGGTGCCGTTGTGGATGGCGCTGCTCATGAGCGGCCCGCCCACATTGGTCGTCTGCGTGCTGTTACCGTTCCCGTTGTTGTGCTGTCCGCCGCCCACCAGGCCGCCCAGGAGGTACGTGGGCAGCATGGCGGAGGCCGCCGACGAGGAGGTGGAGCTGCTGTGCAGCCCGTCCATCGAGAGGTTGTTGAGCAGGGAGTTGGCCAGCGAAGGGCCCGGTGACATGGCGCACAGCTGGCTCATTCCGCCCATGCCGCCGCCGCCGCCACTCGCTCCAGGTCCCGTTCCAGAGCTCGCTCCGGAAACCGGTCCCGATCCCGATCCCGATCCCGCTCCCGTGTTGTTGCTGTTCATGTCGTTCTCTGAGTTGAGGAGCGTCTGCACCGACATGATGAAGTCGCCCTCGCCGGGGGTCTGGTTGAGGAACAGTCTCGAGTTGGCCTTCACATGCACGTAGACGTCGGGGGCACCCAGGCGCAGGCGGAACGGACGCGACACCACATTGGATATGTGCACGGAGCCAGAGCCGGAGCCGGGACCCCCGCTGGCGGGCGAGTGGGGGCTGGCCGAGTCCTGGATGTCGCGCAGGTGCGACTTCAGCATGGAGAGGTCGTGCGGGTGGCACAGGTCCTGCCACAGACGACCCACCCAGGTCTGCATGTGCTGCTTGAAGGGCTCCCGCAGGGCAGTGGGATCGAGGCTGAGTATTTTGCCGTGGATGTCCAGCTTGAAGGTCATCTGCTCGATGGGCTGCTGCTGCACGTGCTGCTGCATATTGATCTCTAGCGGCGACTCGTCCTCCGGCCGCGTGATCAAGCACAGGACCGAGCTGCTGGCATCCGCATCGTCTGTGGAATAAAGATTGATTAGAGTCAGGTTCTAAGGGATCATCTATTGGTTTCCACTCACCCTTCACGGGGGCCGCTATCAGGACCACCTCCTCGTACTTGTCCTGCTGCCCGGACTGCCTCAGTGGCTTCTGCTCCATGCCCGCCTCGCAGTTGGACGACGTCTGGGTGGCCGTTCGCGGGTCCTTGACTAGCATGCGCACCTTCGTGGAGATACTCCGCTTGGACTTGCCCGACTGAGCGTTCCCCGAGCTGGAGTTGGACCCCGCCGACTGCTGCGACGCGTTGCCGTTGTTCAGCTCATCCAGATCGCCCCAGCCCCCACCTCCACCTCCACTGGCTGACCCACTGCCTCCAGCTCCTACTCCTCCTCCACCTCCGCTACTGTACATGTTGTTGATGATCGGCTCTAGCTTGGCGTGATCCCCCGCGTAGAGGTACATGTAGAGGGGCTGGTGGTAGAGCTCCTGCTTCTCATAGCCGATCAGCTCGCGGATGTTCTGCGTGCAGGACTCAATGATGCCGTTGGCGTTCACCTGCAGCAGGACCCAGCCCACGCCGCTGATGTAGTGCTCGAGGGCCTCGAAGTAGGCGGAGATCTCCGGCACCTGGCCGAGCAGCAGCGATGGCTCCGGCAGTGGCAGTGGCAGCGGTGGCTCTGTCGAGGAGACCTCTCCCTGTTGCACCGGATGGATCGAGCAGTTGTCTGTTGCACAGCGACTGCAGCGGGGTGTTGAGGTTGTTTGTGGTTTGCTATTGTTGTTGTTGTTGTTGCTGTTGCTATTGTTGTTATTATTGTTTGTGTTGTTGTTGGTTGTCGCCGTGGAGTTGTTGTTGTTTGTTGAAGTTGAGGATATATCACGATTTTGGCCCTTGTCACAAATTTCACGATACTGCAAAAATATACGAATAAAATCAATAAATAATCGAATATGATATCTAATACTTAACGAAAGGAATTTCACACCCCCATATCTTGTTTCGTTCTACGTTCAATTTAAATTGTCGCGACGAGTCTTATAGACAGAGGCACCATTACCACCAATAAAAACTTCATTCATATCAGATCGGATCCCAGCCTCGAAGCCGAGGACCCGGGACCCACTTTGTCATCAGAGACGAGACACTAAAACTGCAGTATTTTTGCAATGCGGAAGACATTCGCGTTCCCATTTCCATTCCCTTCACGAATATTATGGCACACTTTGTCGTAGTACTCCATCATCATAATTCTGGCTGTTCTGTTCTGATCCGATCTGCTCCATTGTATTATTGACACAATGGAAGTGCAATAAACCTCACACACAGCACAGTCCCTGCCATTTGTATGCGTTCTCTATGAGCATTTGCGTTATTTTTACTCGGACACGCAAAAATTTTCGCGCGCGCGTTTGAGAGTCCATTGACTTTTCCACAGAAAATACCGAAAACCGAAACCAAGCACACATTTCACACTCGCACTCGCATTATTCAAATATTATTGTTATTATTGGGCTTTCCTTTTCGACGACTTTGATGGATTTCCAAAGCACACACCTTCCGCGGCCCAGCACGGCCCAACACCAAACCACCCCACCGCCGCCCACCGTCCAACAGTGGAGCAGAATGCGAAATTCGCTGGCACATTATTCAAGGTCAATCAACTTGCACTTTACGTCGCGTGTGTTCTGGGACAAATGTCATTGGCATTTCACATTGTTTTGGTTTGTCGTTGTTTTTATAGGGGCCCGGGAAGCGAGCTGCTTATCAGTCAGAGCCAGGTCTGGAGGCGGTCTATGACTCAATTTGGGCCAAAAATTACTCACTTTTTAGAGTGCCACAAATGAAATCACAGAACAAAAAACACAGAACAGAGAAACACAGCCGCGTGGAACGTTCGTTCAGTCACAAAGTTGCCGAAATAATAAGCGCACATTTTTTGATGCAATTGTATTAAAAAAATACACAACAACTGGCTCTCACCACCTCCCTCTCTCCCTCTCTCTCTCTGGGAGCAATAAAGCTTCTTGACCAAGCCATGCGACTCTCTCTCTCTCTCACTCTGTCTCTCTTCTCCAGCTTTTGTTTACCGGCTTGCTTGTACCGTACGCGAAGAGGTAGTATATATGTGTGTGTGTTATCACATTGAATTTGCAGCTTGCACCTTGTGCAGCGCGTGGGGGGTGGAGGGTGGCGGCGGACACGGCGGGCCGGCAGCGGGTGGAGAAGGAGTAGAAAGAGCAGGAACAGTGGAACGTCGAAGAATCACAACTATGTGAAATTGCCATCGAGGTGCGACGTCACCGTCATCGTCCAAAAAGCATTTCAAAAGCAGTTCGTTGATCTTTCAGCTGAGTGGAAGAGGGACAGCAACGACAGCTGAGAGAGCGCGGCGAGCTTTTAATTTCTTTGGAAGGAAGCTTCGCTGTGCCAGAACTGTGTGTGTCCGTGTGACCAGGAAAAGTTGCTCCCGAGAACGAAATTTCGTGTCGGGGTGAAGGCACTCCGAAAAATATCAGTCAAATGATAAAGTAAACAACAAAAGGAACAACACCGAAAGAGAGTACACGGCGCGTGCAATGGCGTGCAAATGTCTGAAACGTGTCTGGATTTCGCCTCTCTCCACCTCTATCTCTCGGTCTGTTTTTTGGCGGGCTTTGGCCCATAGATTCTTCCAAAAATTGATCGCATCAGGTAAAAGATGCGATAAAGAGAAGCAGCAGCTGTGGAATTTCGGCAGAAAACGGAGATCAGAGCGTGAGAAGGGGGTTTGTACGTGGAAAAGGGGACAAAAAGCTCGACAGAACGTGCATTAAAGGACTGAGTATCTTGTTTGCGATGGTCCTTTACGGTGTTTATCGGATCGACAGAGATAGAGAGATCTTAGCGATAGTTTAGATTACTCTATACCACAATATTATTCCCCTCAATATTTCTTCCGATACTCATGCATCCGTCTCTTTCTGCCGCTATCTACACAACTGCCGAAAATAGACAGCCACACATTCCCACACCTCACGAAGAACGCGAAACCGCTCGCAGCATATGCCGCCGATACCCCAGAAGTAAGCGACCCGTCGCGCTATCGTCAACGGGCGCCGTGGCTTAGTTGGTTAAAGCGCCTGTCTAGTAAACAGGAGATCATGAGTTCGAATCTCGTCGGGGCCTTTGGCAAGTTGTGGAAACGTTGCAACTTTTTTTTTCTTTTCCTAACTTTTGTTCACTTTGTGGCAATTTGTTGGATTATGGTTTTATCAATTTGATTAGCGTCCCGGATGATTTCCCTTATTAGGCGACAAAAAGCCCTGTGCACTTCCACACGGAACCCATTTAATTCAATTTATTTATTACTTACGGAACCCATGTGTCCACGGACCTCATGTGCCGTGCCGTCCCGTGTGGTGTGTGCTTTAATTGCATTTTATTAACCCTAGACCAGTGGCACTTGCGACTCTTGTTTAGTTTTCGCCCGCCCGTATGGATTACAAAATAAAATTATGTATATTTTTTGTATATGGTTTTTCGGCGCCGCCGCCGCGTTTCATTTAAAAACCCATTTGTTGGCATTGGCTTTGGCTTTTTGTTGGCTGGATTTGGATGTTGGTTGTTGGTTGGCTGTGCGGCAAAGCGTGGCGCTTGGCTCACAAATAATTTACATAATAAAGTGCTTAGGCTACCTGAAACCAATAAAAGAAATACACCAACAATAACTTTGCCTAAAACAACACAATACTCGGGACGGGGGACGGATCGGAACGGGGGACGGATCGGGTCGGGTCGCGCCGGGGCTTTCAAACATAAATAAATTTATGTAAATTAAATAAAAATATTAATTAAATTGTGCTGCGGCGGGTTAAATTACGTCAGTCGACAGTCGTCAGTTCAGTCTAGGGTCCGTCCGGTGATGCCCTGCTCCTATACGATTCGCGAATTCTTTTAAGCTCTTTGCGGGCCGAGCTTTTAATTGCTTTTTAATTGGAACGCGTTTTCGGCTTTGCCCAAACGAAAGACAGAGAAAGACGTAGGCGACTACGGAGAAGACCGAATGGAAATTACATTGGGGAATTCGCAGACGGAGACGGAGACGGAGACGGACACCCTCTGTTGCCTCTGTTTGGATGTTGTAATGGATCATTTGGTATTCCGCACAGGCCGGCACACTGTCCACCGTCCACTGTCCCCCAGTCCCCAGTGGCAGGGTGTTATAACAACTTGTATTGCTTTTCGTGTAGTTCAGCGATTTTGGCCTTATTAGTTTCGTTTGATGAGGTCTCTCTCGTCTATAATTGAGGGCCCTCCTCGATTGATCGGGTGGGTGGGGTTTTCTCGACTTACCGTTCGAACCACTTGATTCAGTATAGCCGCCTTGTCCGGTTTCGTTGAGGTCATATCCCCACGCTTGTTCAGCGTTAGTATCTCCGACAACTGCTCGATATAACCATTTTCCGCCTCGCGACGCCGCTTCTCATTGTTGCATTTGTTGATTTGTGATTGCGGCTGCAAGAAGTCAGTACACACAACATTATTAATATTATGTATAGCATTTTAGAGAGTACTTAACTATAAGTTTCGATCTGTTTTGCTATTCCTATTGACGCAACTGCCTCAATCTTAATCTTAACTTTAATCGTACTCCTAAATCTTATCTCCAGTTATCATCAAGTTATATTTTCAATATTAATTTCGATAATCCCACTGACTGTTTGATTCTTTGATTATGATTGTTAAAACTTCTAGAAGAATGGTACCGTGATTGCTTATTCGGTAACTTTAATGGTGATTTATCTGATCGTACTGTCCAAATCCTCATCGCTTTGGTGTTTCTAGAGAGGGAAAATACTTACCAAATTAACCTTCGAATCCGTCTTGCGGCGTATCTTCCGGCCTGACGTCGCGGCGTTGGCTGCGCTGCTGGCTGAGATCGGCGACGCCACCGCATTCATAATGGCCGAGCGTTGCAGCGCAGCTGCGATGTTGGCCGTGGCTGCGGCGGCGGCCGCTGCCTTGTGGAGAGAATGATGAGAGTTGAGGTGATGCTGCTGCTGTTGCTGGTGCTGCTGCTGGTAGAGCAGTGCCTGCTGTTGCTGTTGCTGCTGCTGCTGCTGCTGCAGCTGCTGCTGATGCTGCTGCTGCTGGAGCGAGAGCGAGGCCGCTGTGGAGGCGCCTGCAACGCCCCCGGCACCAGCGCCGCCGCCTCCGCTCGCCGCCGTTGCGCGCTGCAGTGGGTGGGTGCCGGGCGCCAGGCCGTGGTGCAGGCCGCTCAGCAGGCTGCTGCCGCCCGCGGCCGCAGAGAGGGTGACGGCTGCTGTGGCGGCGGCCGGCGAGGAGCGTGGCAGGTTGCACACGGAGATGTTGCTGCTGTTGTACTTGCCGCTTGCGCCGGCGCTGCCTCCGCTGTGGTGGAGGCTACTGCTGCTGCTGCTGCTGCTGCTTGAGGCTGATGTCGTGGGGTTCGCTGTACCTGAGGCCCAATGATCTGGTAAGTCACTTGGGCTAAGCCTGAAAAAAGGTGAATCGAATTTCGAATTAGTGGAAAGTTCTCCAGAATTTGCGCAAAGAACGGAACAGAAAAAGAGCTGTAAAGGTGCCGGGTGCCGGGGGCCTGCCTGCACGCGCTGTTGTACGAATGGCCTTGGCTTTGGGGCTTTGTGGCTTTTGTGGCTTGGCCCCGTTCGCTTATCAAAATGCAAAATGCCCATGCCCATGCCCATTCCCATGCCCATGCCCCCCGCCAGTCCCTCTTTCTTTTGGGCTAATGTGCTGCCTCAATTACAGTTTATTGCCTAATTAATCTGCATTTGAGGAGGAGCGTGAGAGACGCAGACAGCGGCAGCAATCAGCTGTTTTTGGGGCCTCTGCTTTTTGTGGTTTGTGTCTTGGACTGGAGCGATAGCTAGGGGGGATTGGATTAATTGCGCATTAGGAAATTCGAGATCCAGTGTGACAGTGAACCGATTAGTGGTACCGTATATCAGTATTTATTTGGTATTTTATAAGTCTGCTTAGTGTTTTTACGGTATGTTTTAGGTTCCACAAGAATTGGAAATGCTCAAATTATACCGGTATTTTTTCTAGTATTTTTCTATTTATATTTTCTAGTATTTTTTGGAAATTACTGAATTATGTAGAATCCTACCTCTGATATATTTTTTGGATTTTTCTGTAGAATTTATTGAGAATTAAGTGACTTTTTTGGTATTTTCTTTAGAGAATTAGATAAACATTCCGTAGATTCTTCTCTGTTGGTATTCAATACTTTCTCTCAGCTAACAAACAATTTCACAGCCAATCACCACAGTCTTGTTTTTGGTTGAAAATCTCAACTATTTCCCCGAGACGACAGCAGCAGCAGGAATGCTGCCCCCTGTCTGCTCGGAGAGCTTTCGCTCTTTGGAATGTGACATCTTCATTTCGTGGCAGCCACTTCAAAGGATGCATATGTCTATCCTTCTGCTCTCCTGATTTTCCCACTCAACCTCAATCATTTGTTAGCTGGGATTCGGACAAACACTCTTCGGGGGTTCGGTGAGTGGTGACCCGAGACGTGCCCCGTCAGGGGGTTGCCACCGCAACGTTAGTCAAATTAATGCTGTCAGTTTTTGGGGCAACGCACAGCCTCTCAGCAGAGGACCGGAACAGGTCCAGGCAGCACTTCAAGTGGCCATCATGGCCATTACTCTTGCATGCTCTTTCTCTCTCTGTCGGTTTTCGGGGGCTCCTTTCATGTCACATTTTATTTGGTTGCTTGATTAATTGCTTGCTTTATTTGCTTAAAGTGTGGAATAAATTGTATTTTTAGGTTTTTCGAGCGCCACTTGAGAAACGAAACTTCGAGGTAAATGCAAATTTGTGGAGAGCAACATTTGCCTGAATGTTGTACGAGTATCTGAACAACCGACTGAGCGAGAGACACACAGAGAGAGAGAGAGAGAGAGAGAGAGAGGGGCTCACTCAACCAGTTAAGCGTGAAACAGAGTCCCGTCGTCCCAGTTCTCGAGCCGCAAAGAGTTCTTTCTGTTGGAGTTCCGAGGAGCTCTGAGGAGCTGCAGACCACCCGGTGCTACAACTTGTGCTTATTCCTCTTCTTTTTTAATTACATTATATGCATAATGAAGACCTCCCTTACCCCCTGTCCATTCTCTCTGGGGCTCTGAGAATCTCAAAAAAAAGAAATAGTAATTACAGACAAAACTCTGGACATGGTCAGGAGATGTAATCAGCGTCCGACGCTAGGGAGGAGTGCCATGGGGAAAGGCAGGGCATGGGCATGGGCATCGGGCATGGGGATAGATGACGGGCAGTTGGCCAAAATGTGAATGCAATGGGCGCCAAAATGAGTGACGTACAAGCCTCCACCCCTCTTGACGCCTTGCCCTCCCCGACAAGCGCTATAATTGCGGGAGTTCTTTTGCTTCTGTTGTTTTTGGGGTTGTACCCTTTGCAGAAGGGCATTATGTTTTGGAGGAGCTGTTGGCAGGGCTTGGAAAGTACTCTATGGAGCTATAGATATCGCCATTTAGCCTTCTGTCAGGGCATCTCTATGTTCGGCTCCAGCCTCTGCTTTCTGGTTGTTGCCTATTTTGACAGGGCGACACTTAAATGTGGCAGCCTGCTCTGATGTTGATCCTCCTTCAGACTTAAACGCGAATATTCTTTTGGGTTTTTTCTTTCGGCTTGTGCCACACAGGGCGTATGATTGACGCGCTTAATTAAGGCAGCAGCAGAAGCAGGAGAGAAGGAGCGTAAATTAATTAAATTACAATTAATGCAGCAAGTCAGTTGACTTTTTGTTGATACTGTTGTTTAGTATTTTTTGCTGGCTTTTTTGCTGCTTTCTGTGGGCCTTATCAATTTGCACTTTGCCGCTTGGGCCTTTCAATCTCCGTCTCATTCCGATTCGCTATTTTCGCAATTTATCGTCATAAGGCAAAGAGAGAGAGGGAGAGAGCGACACATGATATTTATAGACAAACAGCGGAATATATTCACAGAGAGAGAGACCCAGAGAGAGATGCCACTTTCGCCCTGCCTCTGCTGTGGCAAAACAAACATTTCGTCTCTCAAATGGACAATGGAACGCATTTGTTTGATCATCAGAGTGGGCAGGGGGGAAGGGGGAGCAGCGTGGAGGCAGAGAGGTGTCCCCCATTGATCTTAATGGGGCATAAAACTGAATCAGCGCCAACTTTGTCGTCGGGGCCAAATAATTAATTTCACTTTCTTCTCTCTCTCTCTCTCTCCCTCTGGCATTTGTCTCTCCTTCTCTTTCTTTCGGACACAAGATTTTCAATGTCGTGTGCGAATATTTCTTCTGGGTATTTTCCTGATAAAATACTAAATGGTATTTTTGTAGGAAGAGCACTGCCAGAGGGAGAATACTCTTTGGATCATCATCCACCTTATTTCTCGATAGAACTGATCTTCCAATCTTCCAGATCTCGAAAGTCCCAGTGCCTGCCACCAGCAAACCCCCAGGTCTGATGAAATACCAAGCCCAAGAGAAGGTCGTTCCATGAATCACAGCCAAGGGGGGGGCTGTGGTGAAAATACTCGTAAATTACTCATTATATTTAATGTTGATTATACGAGTAATGCCATGCAGAGTTTTGGAATTTGCTTTCGTTTGTTTTTTGCGGCATTTTGAGCTTTGACTTCCATATAAGAGAGAACGTACGAGAACGCAAGTAAAGCCGGAGACAGAGAGACACAGAGACAGAGAGACATGGATGGGGGGGGCCTTAGACAAATTGAGTCACGAGTCTCATGATGAAGGCGATTATTATGGTGGTGGTGATGCTGTGGTGCTGCGATGCTGCATTAAATTACTCATACGCACAGTCTGCCAGAAGGAAGGAAGAAAGAGAGAGGGAGAGAAGCAGAAACAACGCTTGAGGGCAAAGCTTACAACAATTTAGATGTGTTTTTTGGTGGGTCTACGTGATGTTTGGCTCGACGCCCCACGGAACGGAGAACCCGGAATGGACTTTGATTATGCTTTAAAATGTAAAATATATTCAAGTTTATTGACAATGTAAGAGAATCTGTAAGCAGAAAAGACTACCTCCATTCGAAACGAAATCTCTGAAGGAATATCTAAACGTACACCGTTTGCCACTTTAACAGCAACAGCCACAGTATCCAGTATCCAGCATCCAGCATCCACGTCCTCTTGGCTGCCTGCATCCTCCTCTGCTCGGATTGGAACTGCCTGTTGGCCAAAATAAACATGTTGCCAATACTCCAGTCTCAATTAATAGCCAACAACATCGACAATGACAGCGACAACAGGCAACATTTTACCAACCGCCAGTCGAGAGCAAAAACCAACAAAGCAAACAACAACAACAACAACAAACCAGCAGACAAATGTGCAATGAAAATGTCAGGGAAAATGTCTGAAAGACAACCAGAAAACTGCAAGGAAAAATGGGATAGAAAATGGATGGAGCTTGGAGGTTGGAGGATGGAGGTTGGAGAATATGGCAGAGTGGAAATTGTGTGCTCGAAACAGGAAAGGAGGAAATGAGAGCAAAGGAGGAGCCCCATCAATGTCAGTGGCAGAGAGAAACGTTAAGCAAGAAGCAATTTCCAAACAATTTGTATCTTTTGCTGCTGCTGTCAAGGTACGGTACACATTCATCCAGCAATTAATAGGAGATGCTGCGCAAATAAACAGCATCAAATGAATATTAAATATTCCACGATTTATGGCTTTGCCAAAAGTTCTGGGACAAAGCCCTGGCGCTTCTAGAAAAAAGAGCTTCAAGGAGTAATTCCTTTCTTTTGTCTTCAAAGAACTGCCCTCAGACCTACCCCAACTCAGTTTGGTTTAAGCCTCTCTCTTTGGAGTTTTCCTGCTTCCTGCACTGTTTTTCGTGTCACTTCCGCTTCTGTCAGCACTAGGTATCCTTGACATCAATTTCCGATTGGCTCTCGCCAAAACTCAAACAAATATTCGTGCTTTTTGGTGGCATTTCCAGTGGAATTTGAATGACAAATTACTATACCGAAATGCTGATTCACGGTGACTAAATATCAGCCAAAAAAACAGCAAAATATGCGGGCTTTATGGGTTGCGTTTATTTGTGGGGGATTCCCGGTTGAAAACTCTGCTAAAAAAAAAAGAAGATGAGCCGATAGGGGAGTTTGGATTAGAGAAGGGAATTTCGAAGGGTCGTTAAACATTTCTAAATACACCCCTGCCTAATCCTTGCTAAAGGCTGTCTCTACACTAATTTTAAATGTTATTTGCTGTCAGTTGTCGCCTTAAGTCTCGCCTTAAGTGCGGTGCAGCTGTTTAATCAGTGTCTAAAACTAGTCGCAAGTCTAGTCTCCACCTCAGACGTTAACCGTAAACCGTAGACCGTACACCGCACACAACCTCATTTGCTCAGCTGTGAATGTGAATGTGCATGTGAATCGTGGTGTGAATGCCAGTATGGGTGCCGAGTATCTCTCATACGAGTATTCGTATGTGGGTAAGCCTGCAGTTTTAGCAA